GACAGTCGAGCCTGAAGGACGGGCCCCGCTGGAGAGTATAATGACAACCCGGCCGCTGGAGTTGGTCTGCATTGACTTTTGGTCGGCTGAAGACTCCAGGAACAGGTCTGTTGACGTTCTGGTGATAACTGATCATTTCACGAGAATGGCTCAGGCATTTTCATGTAAAGACCAGACAGCTAAACAGGTGGCTAGGGTTCTATGGGACCGGTATTTCTGTGTCTTTGGATTCCCAGAAAGAATCCATAGTGATCAGGGTGCTAATTTTGAGAGTCTGCTGATTGGTGAGCTTCTCAGGATCTCAGGTGTCAAGAAATCACACACAATCCCCTATCACCCAATGGGGAATGGGAGTGTGGAACGTTTCAACCGAACCCTGGGTGGTATGATTCGAGCACTGCCCCCGGAAGAGAAGGCTGACTGGCCTCGGCGCTTACAGACCTTAACGTTCATGTACAACTGTACGGAACATGAGACGACAGGTTACTCCCCATTCTACCTCATGTTTGGTCGGATCCCCCGCCTACCTGTGGATGTCCTCTTTCGTGCTGTTCTTCATGACTCTGCAGTGGTGAGCTATGAGAAGTATGTGGCCAGTCTCGCCAACGATCTGAAGGAAGCAATGGTCATTGCTCAGGTTCATGCTACAAAGGAGCAGAATCGACATGCCCAGCTGTACAACAGGAGAGTAAAGGGATCCAATTTAAACATCGGTGACAGGGTGCTCCTGGCCAACAGGAAGGAGAGGGGTAAAAAGAAGCTTGCTGACAGGTGGGACTCGACAGTCTACACTGTGGTAGATGTGAATACAGAGACACACACATACAGGATCCGCGACACAATCACTGGACGGGAGAAGGTGGTCCACAGGAACTTGCTGATGCTGGTTAATTTTCTTCCTGTGGGGGATACATGTGACATATCAGATCTGGCCTCATCCTTGCTCGGTACGGGGTCCTCCGTTTCAGGACATGATGGTGGCGAGGCAGAAGAGACCTCATCTGGGAGAGGGAGGGAGTCTCTCAGTGTGGCTAGTGAAAGCTTTGACACTGAAGGTGACAGTGAGTCCCCTGTGACTGTGACGGACGGACAGGGTCCCTTGACCGATGCGGTGCCCGTGGATTCGGAGAGCAGAACCATTGAATGGATTACTCAGTTGTCTGGGCCAAGCCTGGCTGAGGCGTGCATTGTTGATATGAGTGTTGCTTCTGATCCCCAGAACGCAACTATCTCACTTGAGGGCAGCACCACTGATCAATCTGTGACTTGTTATTCTTGCCCTTCGACTGCTGCGGACGTCTCGACAGATCTGAGGCAGTCAGACTTTGCACTCGATACCATGACACAGACAGATACCACGTCTGATTCTTTGCATACTGTGGTCCAGGTCTCACCCGCACACCCTGGTCGTTTTAATGCGCAGGTCAGGTCAAGATTTGGTCGCTTAATCAATCCTGTGAATAGGCTTATACAGACTATGTCCAGGCAGGATGTTGTCCAGGAATAGCTTGAGGTTGTTACCTTTTAATACTATGAGTGGGTGGCTTATGCCTTTTTATGGCTGAAAAACGTGTGTTGGTATAATGTTTCACTGTCCTTATTGTTTTTTTTGTCATGAGCCTGTACTGCATTGCACTTTGTGTTTGGGTCTTGTGGGGTGTACAAGGCACCCTGTTGCCAGTTGTTGGGTTGAGAGGCCTGCGCTGCTCTCGTACCACTTTATCCTTATGGAATACATTTTTTTTGTTGGTTTTCTGGATGTTGGCCCTTTGTGAGTTGTCAATTTGTAATGTTTTCTATGGCGTGCAATCGGCGATGAGCGCTCATCTATGATAAAATTCAGTGGGGGTGAATGTAACGGAGTTAGAAATACACTGTCATTTTCAAAGTATTGTATTTTATTTTTGGGTTATTATTCAACAATCTTGTTGAACGTGTGTGTGTGAATTTTATTTTGATGAGTCAAATTTGCGGAAATTGCGATTCATCTCTACTGCGCCTCCTAGGCTTCCGTAGTCCCGTTTTTCCTCACAGTAGTGTTACACTGTTGAAGGTAAGTTGAGAAAAAAAAACGACGTCGCACTATTTCGCTATGTTCTTAATTATAACTGTTAACATCAGCTACCATTAGCGTGGGTAACATGACCACGGTTCTCAGCTGTGGTGCGTCATTATTCGACGGAGTGGTGATAAAAGTATACGTTTGGTCATTGTTTAATTTCGCGCCGTTTGTACTCGCTACATCCGGTCGTCCTGACGTATACGTTCCCCTCCATAGACCCTGTGTGTAGGGAGCTGATGTGCAGAGACCAGAAGGCAATGTCTGTGTTTTATTGTCTTCTGCAGGTATGTGTTTTCTTTTGTTTTAATGCTGGAATTTTTGCAGTTGTCACTGTTATTTATTTTGTTCACTTGGGGTTGTTCTCTCCTTTTTGTCACAATTTCGATCTTTCCCAAGCTATAATTTAGATTTTGCAAGAGTCCCGTTTTTCCTTCACAGTAGTGTTACACTGTTGAAGACCCTGTGTGTAGGGAGCTGATGTGCAGAGACCAGAAGGCAATGTCTGTGTTTTATTGTCTTCTGCAGGAGCAAATAAATGCTGAAAAGATCAGTACCTGAGTCGACTACTTCCATGCCCTAAACACATCTGTTACACATACACTTGCAGCATGAGCGAGACGGAGTCGGTGTCCCAGTCTCTGCAAACATGGTCTGGTGCACGTTATAGTCTTCAATATTTAAACAAATGATTTACAACTAGCAACAGTTTCAAGTGCGGGGTCGTGCATGATGCGTTATTATGAGGTAGTTCCCTGTCCAGGTGGTGACCAAAACGCAAATGTTTAGCATTGTTAGCATGAATCTGTGCAAGAAGAGTTGTCTTTGTCAGGTCACTCTCTACCTGGCTGGCAGTGTCTATTCTACCTAGTGCATCTACCGAATACATTTTATATTATTTTTTATGTTGTTATTGGGTTGATTGATGCCATTTTATTTGTTAAAGTATGCACACTCCCTTGAGCACGTGCAAACACATATACACACACACATCATACATTATACATGCACAATCATACACAATCCCTAAGAGCAATGCTGCACAGCTCAAATAGGCCAGTTAATCTCAGCCAGCGAGCGCCTGTGTGCCTGTGTGACTGTGTGCATGCGTAAATGTGAATGTGTTGGCACAAGCGCGTGTGTGAGCTGCTCTAGCAATGTCACAGAACAGAGAGAAACAAGTTGAAGAGAGAAAGGGGGGAGAGAGAGAGAGAGAGAAAAAAGGGGCTGACGGACAAGAATAGATGGATGAGAGAGAGGGAAATAAACTCCAAGTGGAAAGAGAAAGGGGGTGAAAATATACTGAGGCTGAAAGCAGAGCGCAAAAGCACACACAGAAAGAAGGAGGGTTCCTCCTCTGAAATGGAGACGCGTGAAGCCTCATCCAGTAGTTCCTTCTCTGAGCATGTGACTACAACAAGCCTCGGAGCCGTCACAGCTTGCGTGTGACAGATGCTGGATAATACTGCGACCACTGCTGTTAATGCAGCGACATTGCACCTGCAGTGCCGGTATTTAAGCCAAAATTCACCTCCCGATGAAGTAGGTGTTGTATCCGCCAGTGTCAGTTGTAGCCAATCAAATCAGTTCACTTTCATTCCCATTAAAAGCAGAACATTATAGTGCACTTACAGAGGACAGCGAGTGCATTGAAAGGATACTGGAGTCCTTGTCTGGGACACAGTGCTGCAGGAACAAATATAGGGCACCCCAAATCTGCCAGCCAAGGGCGAATGACGTCCCTTTGCAAGATAAATTGCTGTATTTGGGCAGACAGAAACATCGACCACTGAGTTTTTAGTCAACATTTCTCTGCTCTCACTGATTCTCAGAGCAATTCCGTTCACGCCAATGATTTCATCATTTAACAACTAAGATGAATTTGATCGACTGTGTTTGTGGTGTCTTCACAGAGGATTGAAAAGGAACCATCCAGGACCTTTGAACTGGAAACTGCCTTGATAGATTAAACCTGTTTGGGCATTATTGTTGCAGCGCTGCGGTTTATTCAGCTCAAGTAACAAATGTCCGGTTTCCAAAGATGTGTCAGGTACTTGTGTGTGTACATGAGCGTAGTATCAGACCCGATACAAGTATTGCTGTGTTTCTAGAGCCGATATCAGCTTATTCATTAACGAGTCGTTTGTCTCACTTATTACTTAAACATAGCTTTCATAACTATTTAAATGTTACTTCAAATGCATAGATATACATATTCAGTTGTTTTTATAACTAAGTCATTTCATCAATACCCCATCCAGCTATTTAGGTCGTTATTGGACAGAGGGCTTCTCATGCAAGGTGCCCCCGTCTCACCGTCATTATTCACACACTGCAGGCACAGCCTTCAGCAGCAACTGGGGTTTGGTGTCTTGCCAAAGAAAACATCGATATGGACCGAAGGAGACGGGGACGTGGCACCGATCTTCCGATTGGTGGCCCAAACTCCAGCTTCTTACGAAGGAAGGAAAGGTGTGTTTTTTTTCCTTCTACGAAGCAAAGTCGTGTTTTCTTTTACATTTCCATCAATTTGGGTTCACCCCTTGGTAGGGGAAGGTTTAAGGGCACCGGTGTGCTTACACACACTTTCTTTGAAGATTTTGAAAGTCTACTAGTGCTTATGCTAAAAAATCTGGGTTGGAAGAGGCCCAATTCCTCAGCAGCACCACATTCACTGGTTACAGACTAGCGCGCCCGGCTTACCTCTGAGGTAAGAGAAATGTTGACAGACATTATCCAGCAGGCTGGTAATCTGCTGCCAGTCAAAGGTCTTCACACCTGATCTGCTTTGGCAGGAAATCAAGGTCCATTATATCGAGTTATCAGAATAATGAAGCTGTGCTCGGCGTTCTACAAGCACAGCACTGCTGCATCAGCGGGGGGCCGCAGTGACAGCCTGTTTTTTTTTGCGTAAACCTTTGTGTTGCTACACATAATTCACCTGTGTCCATCTTTCCGTCCTGAGCAGCGGGCCCGTCGGGTATCACGCTCTTCACTTGCAGGAACTCATCGGGTTCGTCGCCCCCGATGATCGTGAATCCAAATCCCATGTTGCTCTTCTGCAGGGCCGTCGATAGGAAGTTCCCCTTCAGCTGGGTTGGGTCCCTCGTAAACAACGACTTCTCTGCAAGGGACAGACGGTTTCGAATTAGCATATTTGACATATTCTTGATCCACAAGCCATTCTCCATTTGTTTGTTTCACATTATCTTTGCTTGAAATTAAATATTTCTTATGATGTTTCTAGTGCTGAATTCTTTCTGAACACAAAAGCAGCAATAAAGACACATTTGTCTTAATTCCTGATTAGATGACTCATCGAGGAAGTGCAGTCTTCACTCAGATGAAGCCGTACAATATGTGCCGGTCTAGTACGTCCTCACACTCACACAAGCATGTTCTCGGTCCCCCGCACTGCCAGCGACCTCCATACGGCCCTGTACATTGTGACATTGTGCATCTGCCCCTTCAAATACTCATGAAACTGCCCGTTCTATAAGAGATGTATTAGGAAAATGATGTGGGGGGGGGGAAGTACAATATTCAATTAAAAGAAATTTCTACAACAGGGCGGCGTTAGAGTAAATAAAATATAATAGCATGCAAGTTTTTAGGCGGGTTTGATGGTCAGAAGATGAAAGCGGTTTGCCTGCGTGTCTTTCCTGCAGTCTTTGCGGTTTAATTTATTTAGCAACTCGGTAAGTACGACAACAGAGAGTTGAGCAGTGCACATCCTGTAGCATTGCATGTGTACCTCTGTATATAGTGGGTAGTGGGAGAGCAGAGAGTCCCTGGCTCTGCATCTGCCTCTGCTGCTCCAGGCGTCTCTTGGCTTCCAGGACTGGGTTCTCAAACTGAGTTCTTCGATTGATATGACTGAAAGTAAAACGCATCATTACTAAGTATTGCAAAAAGGAGGATTCAAAGCGCCAAGCCAGAAGTAAACAATACATCATTCTACTCGAGAGATAGTTTCATCTATATGTACGTAGAAAAATAAAGAGTAAGAAAAAGAGCTATTTGAGAACAATGGTGCCTTTCAGTGGAACAAATGATAGACGCATTAGAATTAAATCGTTTTGGACTCGCGCTACATTGGATGCACTTCAAAATGAAACAGCGCCTAGACACCAATAAAGTATGTTCGTGATACAAACTATGTAATGATTTCGAACCAGCGATTTCTTGATGGTAAATACTTCATTCCGCTGTAAAAATTAAATGAGCAGTGAGACATACAAAATAAATGAGGTTTAAGTAATTTACGACTCATAACCGGGCGTTTTTTAAAACACAGCAGCGCGTTTCCTGTTGTACTCCAGCGAAGGCGAGTTAACCCAAGTCTACAGGGAGACTTACTCGACGTAGTAGCTGCCGTAGATGGGGTCATCTATCTTCTCCCAGCCGTAGGGCAGCTCTGTCGAGTCACGAGAAAACAGACCAGGGAAATTAAGTCACTTTATGCTGAGAGAAGGAGAAGGAATTTTGACTCAATTGAACCAGCGAGGGGACACAACACGAAGCTTGAGGCTCCCAAAGTGCTCCTTCAAAAGACAGAACAAACTTATTTAATCTGCAGCGGCGTTCTTCGTGGAGGCTCGGACCACAACACAGGCATCAATACAAAGCAGGGCAGGAGGAAAGGAACATTTAAATGCTACTAACCCATTGCATTAGCATTTCATCCCACTTTATTTTATTACTTGTGCACTGTTGTCTTGTCTGTCTACTGTCGTGCACTAACCGCCAAGACAAATTCCTTGTATGTTTGACATATTTTGGCTAATAAATGTTTCCTGATTCCTGATTCCTGATTCCTGAAATGGTTCACACGTCTTTCTGCCTTGTCAGTCGGTCGTGTGCATAAATCCTTTTAAATGCCTTTTTAAACCCAATCCCTGCTTGTCCCTTCTTTTTCTTGTTTGGATCTGCGTCCCCTCCTCGCTTCATCCATCCCTTAGCTGATTTAGCTCTGGTCTCCATGGTTAAAGATGTGGGGCGATGATAGAATTCCTGCGCTCTACTCACTTCATACATTATAAATCGCACTTCAACAGGCTCCCGCTCTGCCCTTGTGTATACAAAATGTATTTTATTGTATCGCTCGATACATACAGCACTTGAAATGAGCCCTCATCAGCAAGCGCTCTTGAAAGGTCGATGTCACTCCCTAAAATGATTGTTTTAAAGAGACCTATTCATGAAATGTCCATAGATGGGCCTTCCTTACAGGCAAATACAGCAAACCTGATGAGAGCGGAAAAATACTAGTGTCAAACAAATACAGTGAGAACAGGGGAATTAGATGGTCCTGATATTATTACTAAAACACAAATACACACAAACAGAAAGACACGGAAGAGCTGAATCACAGAAGGTCGTAGAAAAAATAAAGTTGAGGTGAGGATAATAACCGGATAAGTGAAAGTATTTGTTGCGCACTGAGTTTGTAGAGGGGATTCATTCATAATTCTCTTTTGTGAGGTAGTTCCTAAATTAAATCTAAATGATTATGGAATAAAATATATTTTTTGGTTCTAATCATTAGACAAAATAGCATTTATCAAAGTAAATATTTACTTACTTACAATGCAGGTTAATGCAGCTACAATGTTATACTTGTAAATGACAGACAAACCATTACCAGCATGTTTATTTTTCCCATAGAACGAAATTGAAAATCTGTGACAAACTCACGTATTAAACTAGCAAAAGTACAGAAACCTTGTAGACCAGACCTGTTCAAGTCTCCTGGGATTCACGAGAGACACACAGATACACAAATCCTGAGCTCTATTATTTTTAATATAATTTAGTTTGCGTGACACTGATACCATGCAATTACAAACAGATTTGTGATCTAGATATCAATAATCCATGTGCGAACGCGTGTGTCCTGGCTGCTGAACATGCCGACTGTGCGGCACAAGGTGAATAGCAATCGCCTTCTACAATTATCTTTGGTCTGCTTTGCTGTTTGCTCAACCACCTGCCCTGCGCAGCCGTTACCTCGGAGGACCCTTCTCATCCTCGAGGCATTAAAGTCTAATGGATTCACACTTCAAACCACCTTAAATTCCCTCCCACTGCCCGTGAGCCAGCTTAAATGACGGCGTAACTCAACCCACTACTCGCTTACCCTCCTCCCAAAGTGAAAGGGAGACAGTTTCCATGGAAACCACTAGTGGAAGTCTTTTGGTTTCTTGTCTTAGCTAAGGGCTCTGTCTCGTCTCTGTTTCCTGCTGCTGATGTACAGACAGAGAGAGAGAGACACACACACAGAGACAGTTTGTGTGTGTCTTTTTATGCGTGTCAATATTTGCAGTATGTGTGTGTGTATGTGTGTAATAGATGGCTGGGCTGCCATGTTTGTTTGTCTGATTGTGCGTAACCGTCATCATCATCTTTGATACTAAAGCAAACACCTTGTAATGCGCCTGTAATAATAATATGCGCACTCATAGCAGCGTGCGCGCATGTTCATGCGTATCTGTATTGGTGGCATCCTTGACACAAAGTCTAATTGTGATTCCTCTGCATTAGATGACTCATCGTTCCTCTCACATTGTCTCCCTGACTGAACAGATACAAGGAACTCTTCTGAATCACAGAATGCAAACCAACTCAACGCAAAAAGGAAACAAATGAGTATTTAATTTGATCATTAAAGTAATTTGGTCCGTAATGAATTGGTTTAAATGTTTTGACATAATGTTGGACCAATATTACAAACCATGTATGCATGTTTAGCAGATGTCACGTTTATCATGTTTGCCTCTTAATTCATCACGCCAATATGCTGATGTTGGCTAATAAATACAAACACAAAGTTCAGCCGAGGCTGATGATGATGTCATTGAGACTAATTAAGAGTTTGACCTGATGATGGTACCGGATGAAAAGACATCGTTGACAAACTAATTGTTGACTAATCGCTGCAGCTCTACCTCACTACATGACTACAACTCTGCGTTTTGGGGTTTTCACTGGCATAACAACACTACGTCACCTTTAAATCTAGGAACTACAAATCATATAAGCATGTATGACAAATGAAAAATAGCTATCAAGACAGCAACGAAGAGAAAGAGGGACCATGAACATGAGTACAGGGCGTTAAAGATTCAGACCTAGAAACAGTGATGTAACTCAGAGGTAATATTTTAGTATGAGATCCATCACCGTCTGATCAAAAGGCTTCGACTCTCCTCGTATTTTCACCATCTCAATATAGTATAATTTCCTAATTCTCTATCTCTATTTCATATGTATATTTGGTCCGTTTGTCTGTTAATGAAACGGTCTTGACGTGTGAATTCCTGCCTCTAAATGAGAATGGCCGGTATATATTTTCATCAAAAGCACCGAGATGGCTTTGAAACCGGCATTGGGTGCTCATTTCAAAAGGCAGAATTGAAACCAACACCCGCTGTGATGTGAAGCTCGTCCCGCTGTGTTCCTGCCTCTTCTGAGTGAGAGGGGAGATCTAAGAGCTGATCTAAGGTTGCAAAATACGAACTGGCTACTTTTTACTGTGCAGAGACTAAACTTACAGAAAGAAGCAGAAAGTTGGCATCCAAACATCACCTGATGGGTGACACAATCTTTGCTCGGCCAGGACGAAGGTGACGCACGTCAGTCATGTGTGTGAAAAGGGTTTGTGAACTGAAGACAGCAGTAGTGACTACGTGTGTGTGTGTGTGTGTGTGTGTGTGTGTGTGTGTGTGTGTGTGTGTGTGTGTGTGTGAGAACCAGTTTGTACAGAGCTGAGCTGTTTCATTAGAATTCCAGTCACAGTTCGGCCTTTTACTGGGCAAAGGGAGAGAGGGAGAGGCCGAGGATGAAGGGGAGAAAACAAAGAGAGAGAGAGCGGGACAATCGAAGAGGGGAAAATGGAAAAGGGGGAGAGAGAAAGACAAGAGTGGAAGGATGCAGGTAGAACACTGAAGAGGCCGACAAGAGAGGAAAGGTAGAGAAGGAATTGATCGATCTTGCTCCGTTGAATCACATCACAACCTTATTTGCTGAGCGAAGGCCGTCACACCAGCAGATGTAAGTTCACCTCGTTGTTCCATATCTGATCCCACCGAACCGCAGGACCTCGGGTTCTATTACGTTTGACATCAGTGCTGAATATTCCTTGTATGAACCACTGTTCTGAATCGTAGCCTCTGAAACACACCTGTGTTTCCCGTGATTTAAAAACAACAACATAAAAAGACAGTCAACACTAAACTGTTTGTTCTTGTCAACAATTCCAACGAGAAGGACTAAATAATTCATTAATCCTACATCCAGGTAGCACATTAAGCTTATTCCCCGGTGCCAAAAGATACCCTTATTGTCCAAAAACTATATTAAAACACACACAAATGAGTCACTCAGTCCCACGCTGCAAGCCATGGTGAATCTAAATAATCTGAGGCACCATAAGACTATGAACAGCTTGGAGAAGAATGTGACACACAAAATAACATGTCTTTGTTTTTATGATTCATCTAAGATCTGTGGGAGAAAAATCGCTCTCTGGTTCATCAGTTCACCGCTCATAGGAAGACGAGTGGGGAGAACAGGAGGAGTCACACTTCCCTTCAGCTAATGGACCACAGAAGAGCACCAAATGTGTATTAATCCACAACACAAATGTTGGATTGTCTGCTATGTTCCTGTTGTTGTCTGCTGTGCACGTGTCAGACCTACCTAGTCCCGTTTCATGTAGTTTTGCCTGTTGGGATTTTCAGTTGCTCATTTGTGGATATTTGTTTATTAAAATCATCTTGTGTCATTCTTTGGCTCCCCTTGTCTAGTGTGCTTTTCTCCAACCGTGACAAACAGAACCACTATCCTAACAATCCTATGAACCGCTTTTAAATGTCCTATGATTATTAGCACATTTACTGTAAGTATGCCTCTAATGCAAATGTACATGGTCGGATTAACCAGGTGTACCATTATATCACCATCACGTTCCTATCGTGAAACACAGAAAAGAATAGCGGTTGAAATGATTGCATTGTTGTCTACACATCAAGCAAGGTGCTGCAATGCGCATGTTCCCTTCACAACACCTAATTAAAAAGTTAAGATTTAGTCAAGTTTCTCGATTTCTAACCCTCCTTTGTGTGTGAGTGCACGTCCCAAAACCTGTGCAGAATGGCGGGATGAGCTGCAAACCAACAAACACATCAAACAACTGAGCATTGTGAGCTGTTTTTTTCTTGAGGAGGGAAAACAGGGTGGAACAGTGAGTCAGACACAGACAACAAGGGCCCACAGAGAACACCAACCGCACACGTCGGATCACACAAACAAAACAACGGAGCAAACGAGTCGTCTAGACTCACCGTCTTCTCTGCATTCTTCTGGTGGCTTTGCTTTCTTGGCCAGCCGAGGATCCAACCAGGATGTAGTTTTGGTGTTGTGACTGGGAGGGAGAGACGACGAGAGCAAACAGACAGTCAGAGAGAGACCGACAACCCGGGACGAGAGGAACAACGCGGCATCACTGATGACCTGTAGGTGGGTGCATGAGACAAACAGCGGGATTTAAAAATGAATCTACTAATCAGACCTCAGACACTAATTTGTAAGGGTGAGAGGAGAAGGCTATTATTCAATGTTGTGTTGTTATTCAACTATTTAACACAAAAGTCAGTGCTAGAAAAGTTTACCCACCAGGCAATTCATGCACCGAGTAGATGCACTTTGTGATGGAGATGCAACAATACTGAACCTGAAATCAGATGCTGGTGACTCATAATGATAGTTGTGGTGGTGACGGGCTGTGGGTGTCTGATACCATATTTAAAATTCTATTATGTCAAAATGTATTTAAGTAGAATATTGTCCCATTACTCTATGAAGTAGACCTCGCCCTTCTCGGTGTACGCCATCTCCCAGTTGTCCGGCAGAGGACCAAGCTCTTCCTCATCCATGTCTGGAACTTTGACGGGGGATTTAGAGGGAGATTTTGGGGCCTCCTCCTCCTCCTCCTCTTCTTCTTCTTCTTCTTCTTCGTTGGGCGGCTCGACGGAAGTCGGGGCCTGGCTGGACGTTTCTACAGCAACTTCCCCGGAGGCATCTGTGCTCTTGTCCTCGTGTTCACTGGACTCTGTGGAGCAAATCACGCAAATCACACACACACATACACACACACACACACACACACACACACACACACACACACACACACACACACACACACAGTTATGCTAACATGCTCTGTGCACACATGTAGTGCACACGCGCCATCCGTGATGAGTCAGAGCCAAGCCATTGCAGAGCTAAGAACCCCCAGGAGAGACAGAGAGAGATGTGAGGACAATGAGCATGAGGAGAAAACAACTTGATGTCAGAAATGGAGAAAAGGGGACAGAGAAAACTTCAGGTGTCAGAAATACAAGGAAGGGTTTTGAGACTGATGAGAAAATCTGCTTTCATCTTAAGGCCGGCGCATGCTTCTGACGACGCACACGTTTCAATTCATAGTTCTAAAAGTCGTGCGTGTGTTGCAGAGCAATTCACCTCCAAAACAACAGGCGGAGTGATGTGTTTTGTTGAAGACGACCTAGAGAGTCACGTCTTTGTTTGTGGAAGTCGTTGGTTTGTTTATTTATCGACGTTATTGCCCCGTGCATCGCCACTGCTGCTTTTCATCGCGGACACATTTGTCCCGTATTTTCCTCCACAACTTTGTTCCTCTCGACCGGCAAACCGGCGTCTGCGGCGATCTCCCTCCGTGAATCCAACCCGCTTCCACAATCCGCCAATGACGGCTTGTATAAGCGGTCATATTTACGCATTTCTTCCGACAAAAGTTCTTAAATCTGCTCCGTTCTCTCGTAAACATTCTTCGTGTTAATAATGGCGGTATCGGGCTATGAAAGCGGAAATGTGAGACTCTGTAAAGGACGTAGTTAGCGGACCAATCGCAGCCTGGTGCGCTGCGGGAAATGTCTCGACACACGCAAAGACGCAAGGAGGTGTGAAAAGCAAGGCAAGGGACACGCAAGGGGGTCTTGCGTCACTCTGAAAACGCAGAAGCATAAACTAGGCTTTAGTCAGCGGATATGCAGCATATCATGGTACCAAACTACGCAATCCAGGAACATAAACAAAAAAATTACACAAAACAAGCATATACGTTAGATTATTGATATATATGCCTGTGACCTCAAAGTTATTTCAATAAAAATAAGATCAAGGTAAGTCAATGTTCTTTCTGAGCTTTTCACAAGATCGGTTCTATAGTTTATTATAGACATGACCATTTAATATGCAAGAATTCCCACCGTAGACGCTACAGACTACCGACTTTCCCGATAAAAATTTGTCCTTAATTTAGTTAATGATCGTGCAGGGTGAAGCCATGTGTAGGATTCCACCTGCTCTCGTTTAAAGGTAAAGTGAGGAACTCTTTTGTTCTAAACTGTTTGAAAAAAAGTATTTTTTGTCGTGAACATAAATCACATTCTATATCTTGTTGAATGTTGAATTTATGTTAAATTTGAGATTTGTAGTTTTATTGTGATGACAGAAAATTATATGTAAAAAAAGAATATATATAATGAGGTAAGTTGGTGTCAATAGGAAGCACATGACATTAAGAGAAGATTGTGAAAAGATCTAACGCGCTACAGCAAAACAAACCCCAAAGAGGGGTGGGGAATGAGACGGAAGAGAGGACAGAGGGGACAGGGCCGAGAGGACAGGACTGCAGAGTTGAAGAAAAACAAGAGAGGTCAGAAGAGAAAAGAAGATGGAGGACAGAAAGGGGAGAGCGCAGAGTGGGGTATTAATAGAAACAAGGACAAAGGCCAATGGCGAAAGAGCAAAGACAGCAGGAGGAATGTAGGAATGTGAGAGACGCTGAAGCCTAAATGAGAATCTGGACAGTGATAATAGTTGAGACATGAAGGTGTCTTTGTGCATTCTGTTAAGGTTATTGAGTACCTGCGCAGTTTACACACCTGCTTACAGAGTCTGTTACTGTCTATAATGACGGCTCAGTGTACAGTTTGCTGTCATATTTGTATTCGTCTGCATGGACTGTATAATGGAGGACTTGACGAGAGGAAAGAATCAACGCAAAGGGACGATAAAAGGGAAAGGTAACAATTGTTATGACGAGTGACTTGTTTCTATGGTCTCACTTAATCACACCAGTTATTATTATTTATTGCTGTCTCAATAAATAACCACGGGGGGAGACCAGGCCTTTCACTTCTCGCCACCTAAATATAACATTTAAAAACGCCATGGTGACGGCACTCAGGGAACGAACTGTGTTTTAATCTCATTTTGGTCCCAAGAGGGAACAAATGTGTGTGTTTTTTTGTCCTCATCCGCACGCAGTACCTGGCGTGATGGCCACCCCCGTTGCCGTTGAGAACCGGGCTCTCCTCCTCCTCCTCCTCGGGCGGCTCCAGGCTGGCACGCTGCTCCATGTTGCTGACCGACTGGTTCCTCTTCCTCTTGCCCTGGGCACTGGGCCGGGCTCCGGGCAGCAGGGCCTCACTCACATTCAGAGGAGGCGCTGCGGGGGACGGCTCCGCTGGAGGTTTGGGTGTGCCATAGAAGTTGTCTGAGGAGGCACACGCCGGCATTTGTGTTAACCGCCACATGCAAATCTTATGAGGGATCTCAGACGATGACACGTGGCAGAATACGACTTTTGCCTTTTAAAATGTGAGCCTTGGCTGTCTCGACAGAGGGCAGCAGAGGTAATGTAACCCGCTCATCATTTGTAATAAATCCAGTACATTTTCTGCATTTCGACGGTTGCTTGTGTTCCAGAAAAAAACTAGTGTCATCATTGGCGGATGGTGGAGCTCTTCAGACAAAATAATGATAGCTGTGCACTAAAAATGTCTTTATTTTTTGTGTATGATGTGTGATTAAAGTGTTGCAACTCTCTCGAAATGACACAACATGGCAGAGAATATAATATTGTTTTACTTACAAAAATGATGTTCTGAGCGTTGATTGAATAAATAGCTTAACTTGCTACGCAGTTGGAAACAGGACAGATTTGTAATGAAGTGGTAACTGCACAAGGACCTGATCTGTTTAAACACAACCAGAGGGGAGCTCTGGTTGGAGGCGCAAGCACGAGAAGAAAAGCAAAAATACCATTTGCCTTCTTTAATTCCACAACTGTAGATATTTTCTTTCAAACCACAAAAAATAGATAAAATGTATTTATTTAATTGCTGTGAACAAATATCGAGTGAGAGGAAGATACATCTTTTATAATCGCTCAGAGGGGAACATGGTGGTGTTTCACGGAGGTGAAACACAGCGAGAGCACGAGGGGGTAATGGGAGGAGAACAAAAGCCGAGCAAAGAAAGCAGAGGGGGGGAAGCAATATAGGTCAAAAGGACAATCAGCAGAAAAGAGTCACAAACATTATGCTTTCATCCCAGCAGGAAAGGGACAGATATTAGGGCAGGCTCTTGCACAGCTACCTCTTCAATAAATAAGTGTACTTACCCTGCTGGGCACCAAACAGAGGAATTGATATTTAACTAAAAACAAATGTGCAACCATGGGTACATGTAAAAAAAAGGCAGCAAGCCACCTGCAAACGGCTTCAGAAAGAGATGCCCCACAGGCCGTAGAGCAGACTGAGTTGCATTTACACCACAGCTCCTCCCTTTGCCCCACACCGGTTTTAAAAATACAATTTCCCTCTGATTCTGAAGACATCTGGTTTCTCCTGAAGGCATCTTGACTCTATGCACAGTTCAACATCCACCTTCAGCTGTGACTCACATAATCACATATGCTTTTATATGCACCAATCCTTGCGCACACACACAATTTTAATATGCATTAAATAATTAGTTGCTGCATATCAAACGCAGCCACCCAGAAAGAGACAGCTTCTTCTGGTGGGCAGTAGTAAACTAAAGGAAAACATTCACTCACATACAGTCAACACACAACACAACAACTTTTGAAAAAAAAAGAAAAAACACGCATGCATTCACAGGCATCATTTACGTGTGTGTGTTCAGCAGCACATGCTCAGAAAAAAAATGGCTTCCAGGCAAATGAACCAGCAAATTCCCCATCTGCCGACGTATCTCTGACAGAGAAGCAAAGCAGACGCACAGACCCCGCCGTGACCAGATGACACCGCGTGTGACACACCTGATCCATAGAGGGAACTGCTGTACATCTGACGCACAAGAGGGCAGCAGCAATTCAAAAAGAGTAATACAGCTCAAGCGAAACATGCTACATGCGCCCTTTTCTGCTCCCTGAGCACCTGCACTTGTCCCACGGATGCAGACGGTTTTCTGCACAACGACAACGTCCATCACTCACCTTCATAAGTTCCACTCTCAAGCAGGGCTCCACTTTGCTCCAGTTCCATAAAACGCTCCACGCTCACAAAGTTGTAGTCCACCCCCGGCACCTCCCCTTCCTTAGGCTGCCTGGTGGTACCTGCAGAGAGAGAGAGAGAGAGGGAGGGAGGGAAGGAAGGAAAGAGAGGGAGAGGTCATCAGAGCCAAATAGGGCACTCGAGAAGAAAAGACAGGAAGGCAGAGAAAGAGACCAGAAAAGGGGCCGCAATCTACAACACAAAAAACAGACGACAGATTCAAGACCACAGAGTGTATCGGAGGAAGTGGGAGGAGAAAGGAAATGGAACGAGAGGCTGAGTGAGGAGTCATAACTTGTGATAGCCTAATCCATTCACACAACTGTGCGCAAGCGACACCGAGAGACGGAAGGAGCGATGGAGAGGAATCAAACAGCAGAGGGCTGTCATCAGGCCCCATGAGTCGGTCCGGTAAGGACTTAATCAATACGCACTTTTAACCAAGCATAACTCCAACCTCCTTACACCGGCGCAAAATGCTGTGCCCATTGGATTATTGTCAAGAAAGAGCAATGCGGAGGCACCACACCACCGCGCTGCAATTAGAGCCTTCCTACATCAGCGCTCTCCATCAGGGCCGCGCCGTCTCGGCTCGGCTGTGTGATGGCAGCCGAGGGAGTTTTGAGTTTAATGAGGTGCCGCTTTTGTGCCGCCTGCCAACTGGACCTTGGGCTTATAGACTCGGGGAAGTCGGGCTGGTGCTGATTCCTGCTCCTATTGATCACGGCCAGAAACAGTGATTGTCCAGGCCGTGAGATGGAGTCCTCTCTAAGAGCTCAGGACTCGATAAAAGCCAAGTCACTGTAATCCGGCGGCGGCTTCGGCCACATATTAGAACCGATTCAGAAAGTCAAAAACACACTTTGGTATTAATGGCGGGCAAAAAAACAAACACCTACTGGTGTCTCGATGTAGTGTTAGCTGTGGGAGATTCTCCAACTCCTCCCAGAGTGGAATATCTTAATCATTAGATCTCTATTGATCGTCTGCTACGCAGATGGCGGTTTAGCAACACCTAATGAGTAATAAACCAGTAGCATCACACCAGCAGTCAATTTATAGTGTGTGCGCAATATCCAACACTACCACACCACGTACAGAGGTGTGCTTGCGTGTACCAACATCTGTCTGCCGTGGGTTTTTGTTTTTGGCTCTGAATGGTAGTAAAGGACCCACTGTGACAACAGTAATCCCATTTCTAACATGATCACAGCTCAGCAAGACACCGTAAACCCACAGCACCACAGGTGTGACTGTGGGTGTGTGTGTGTCTCTGTGATCAACGCAAACGGAGAAAAGTTACAGATGTTTGGCCCCTTTGGGCAGACTGGTGGTCAAATCGGGACCTGAGAGTAATTCGGCACTCCCGGTCACTCTTTCCAAAAATGGAACAAAGGGGCGAAAAGAATTAACAGAAGAGTTATAATATTTTGATAATAGAATATCGCTTGTGTTTTTTATCATGCAAGAATGCTGGAATAGTGCTATAATTTCTCATCTGGATCTGCTGCTTCTCTTTGTTGTGCACTGTACAAGTCCACCAAATACTTTTAGGTTTTGGACTTTTCGTACAAATTAGAAACATTTGAATCATTAAGGCAAATCTAGATTAATCAATTTTTACCATCTCATATTCCTGTTATATAATGGATGACTTTCTTATACTTAGTAGGGGTGTTCAAATAAAGCCTTTTTTAAAAAGGGCCACGTATCAGTGTCGGTGGACTGCTGCTTTAAAACTAACGTGAATGATCAACACATCCAATATATTACGACATAATAAATGCGATTGTGTTACTATATCCAAACCCTGCAGTGATGTGAGTCTTTGCGTGTGAATGTACTGCACTGCTTTAAGCCTTATATCATAAGGAGCAATAAATATCTTACATTTACTAAATTAAATATTAAGCGAAGAAGACCAACACCAGACGAGCACAACGGAGCCAACTCAATGAACTACGCTGCGTGTTAAACAAATAATTACTCCTACAGAGGCGCATCCATCGCGTGGCGTGTAGCCCCTCTCTGAGAGCTCAGCCAGCCGGGCGCGGCTGTCCCCGTCCACTCGGTGCGGCTATTGATCCGGGAGATCAGAATGAAATCATTCTTCTGCCCACACCAGCGTAGGTGGAGCCTGCAGGAATACGGATGACCTGCCAGAGGCTCTTTCTTCCACAGCTTCCTTCACTGGACAAACCAACCAACCGAGCGAGACGTGAGGGAGGCGAGGGAAGGTCATTTGTTGGATGTGAGCTTGGGAATATCGATCGACTCTCCGGCCTTGAGATGGGAAGATGGGCAGAATGTTCATCAATTGTCGTCCTTCTCACACGGGCCTCCTCGTAGCGGCTTAGCGCACTACGTGTTTTTGTCCCTAGCTCTCTGTACTCGGGCCTTTCGTTAGCAGCAACACCAACTAAAAGTAGACCTGTTTTTTAAAGGAACACCGTTGCAGTGAAACTCTATAGCCTTTTCCTGTCCTACCCCCGTTATTACCTTTCTCAACCTTCATCCATCTTTAACTTTACCAACTTCCTTCTTATCCTTGA